CGCGTGGGAGGCGGCGGCTCACTGCGTGCCTCCCGGGCGGGCGCTCGAGATGGGCTTTGGAGCAGGGCACGCGGGCGGACGGTCCCGGCCCCGCCCTTGCGCGCGCGAGCCCTGGGGCAGACGCTGCCTCGGCGGCGCCGGCTGCTCAGCTGGAGTAAGGGCGGGGCGACGCGCGCCTTCCGAATGGTCTTGCGCGCGCGGGGCGTGGCGGGATTCCTCGGCGGCGCGGGGTTGGTCGCCTTGGGGAGGGGCCTTGGGGTGGCCGTCGGGCTCTACGCGCAGGCCCGTGGGCCCCCGGAATCCCCGCTGCGTCTGCTGGATGGGTCTCTGGCCCCGCCCCGCACGTGGCATGTGAGACGACGTCCCCCCTCCCCGGAGCCTCTGGAGTGGCGCGGCTTTTTTCCAAGCGCGACTTTTGAAATGTGGGCGGAGTCCTGCCGAAATGGCGGGGGTCTCACAGCGTGCGTGTAGGCCCGCCTCCTCCTAGCCACCGGTCTCTTGGCCTTCCCAAAGTGGCCCGCACTTCACTGGCCCCGTCCTTTCCCTCCACGTGCGCCCCCCCAGCCCTCCTTCCTAGCTCATCTGCGGAGGGGAAAGGCCGCCTGGAGTGGGGATGGGGCGCCGGCGTGGCTGGCTCTCGCGGCGCGGCCCCACTCGCAGGCCTCGGGGCACCTCCTTCCCTCTGGGTCCGCGCGAGTTGCCCGAGAAAGACCCCGGTGCCGCGTACGGGCTAGTGGGACTGCGGGCAGAGGCCTGCTGTGACTTCTTGGAAGAAGCGCTTTCCGCTTTGTGGCATGGCCATGGTGGTTTTACTGCAAAGACGCGTTTGAGATGCTTGCCCTTGAACAAAACCCATCTCCAGGAAGATGTGCCACAGCTGTTCTGGGACGTCCCGCCCGAGTCCCGCCCCCGCACTGGGACTTGAGAAGCCTGACTCCGACTTAGTTTTCCATCTAGATGTCAGGCTGCTCTTGGCTGGAACACGGATGCCACACGGCCTCCTGCTGTCTGTCTCCCGGACCAGGTGGGCCGGAAAGAGCAAAAGGTGCCAGCTCGGGTCTCAGGATCCGTCCACCACCTGTTTCTCTCTCCATGGAGCTGGCCGCGGCCCGCCCAGCCACACCATTGCCTTCAGGGCGGCGGGACTTGGGGTCTGGGAAGAAGGATGGGGGAGGGAACAATTATAAAATCACCGAAAGATGATTTCCTCAGCCGAATTCTTCGTAGTGTAGCCCTGTGTTGTCTCATACGGTAGCCACTAACCGCTGCGGCTGTCAAACACTTGAAACTGAATAATTTAATTTTTACCTTCATTTAGTTTAAGTCTAAAAGTTGAAGAAGTGTACTTTTCTCTTACTTTATTTTTATGATAGGACTATTGACTTTTTTAAAAGCAACAGAATTGAGGTGTACTGTAGGTGGAAAATACACAACTGAGTTCAAAGACTTGGAATGTGCAGTATCTCATCAATTTTTATGTTGATTACATGTTAAAATGGTATTTTGGACACATTGGATTACATCAAATGTACGATTAAGATTAATTTCAACTGCTTGTTTTCTAATGTGGCTCTAAAAATATGAACTTGCTATATATGTGGCGTGCATTGGGTGAGACAGTGCTGCTGTGGCCTCACCATGTCCGTTCTTATTTCCCATTCCTTCCTTCGGCAGGGAAGTTTCTGAGGGTCTGGAAGGAGGGTCTGTACCTAACTCCTTGAACACCAAGGGAGGCGTGTCTGCCTGGGGCCCTGTGAGTGTCGGGTCCAGAGGCTCTCGCAAGGGTCCTAGAGCAGTTTCCTGTTTTGCCTATGTATTCCTCCTCCTCCTGTTAGCCTAGAAATGTCGGACCGCAAGAGTAGTACTAGCTGTAGTGCTGATGTGAATAATCGCCATCAAACCAGGTGGGGAGTATGTATATTGGTGGATTAACTTTGTTCCTGATTTAATTAGTTTATAGCACTGTGCATTCACATGCACTTATAGCCACCCACTCAAATAGCATGGTCATACATTCAAAACTTTAAAGGTAAGACCAATTTATGAAAATCCTCCAAAACACATATTTTGCTAGAATTGTTTTTACCTTTTCAATAAATGCTTATTGAATAAGTGAACTTTGTAATGTGTCAAGGAATTTACCATTAAGAAGATACATTTTGTGGGGGAATACTTTTTAACATAATACTTGATATTGATACTAAGTCTGGAAATAGTTTGCCTTATTTATAAAAAAAACCTCAGGTGGCATATAACAACCATGTGATAAAGTTATGTCAGTGGAAACAATAAAAACAAGCAGGAAAACACCACAAGTAAATTATAAACTCAGCATAGTTTCTATTGTTACTATAATATTATTACAATTTGGTTTTGAGTTCTGTAGCCAAAGCAAAATAGTACACAAGTATCTTATTATTTGGGAAGAGGAAGTCTGTCAGTTTCCCAGAGGAAGCAGAGCTCTCCTAGCACTGAGTTCTAAGAGCAGGTTTTAACTTTGAGTCACTGTCACAAGTAACATTTTAATAGCAAGTGCATCTCATATGACTGCATCATTCCACTAGTTGTTTTTACACAGAAATGAATGAGTGTGACAAATAATTTGTTTTATTTTTACAGGAAACTTGGAAGACCAAAATGAGGCACAATCAGATGTGCTGTGAGACACCACCTACTGTCACTGTTCATGTAAAATCAGGGCCAAATAGATTATATCAGCCTAAAAAAACCATGAATCTGAAGCGTCCTGTTTTTAAAGATAGTTGGCAAGCGTCTGAAAAAAGTACACACAATAACAACAAATCGAAACGCCCCAAAGGACCTTGTCTAGTTATACAGCGTCAGGAAATGACTGCTTTCTTTAAGTTATTTGGTAGGTTTAAAAAATCGTAATATTGGTAATTATAAAGGACTAAAAAAATAGAACATGAACATCTATTTTATCATTTTTGTAATAAAGAGAATGATGTTATTTTGTGTCAAATTTTCCATCTCCAACCAAATTTGTTTTTGTTTTACTTAGTCTATTATTTTATTTTATTTTGTTGGAGTTTCATTCTGTCACCCATGCTAGAGTGCAGTGACAGTCACGGCTACTGCAACCTGACCTGCTGAGCTTAATTGATCCTTCCACTTCAGCCTTCCAAGTAGCTGGAACTACAGGTGTGCACCACCACACCTGGCTAATTATTTTTACTTTTTGTAGAGACAAGGTCTTATCAAGTTGCACGGGCTGGTCTTGAACCCCTGAACTCAGGCAATCCTCTTGCCTCTACCTCCCAAAGTGCTGGAATTACAGTGTGAGCCACTGCACCCAGCCTACTTTTTCTTTAAATGCTGGGTTTTTGTTTGTCTTGCTTGCTTATGGATTAAAACTTCAGACTCATTTAGCTTTTAGACTACTTAAATCCGAGGGTCAAATGTAATTTCTGAGCAATTCAGATTCATAATGTGAGTTTTGTTTGACCTAGAGTAAAAAATACATAAAGACTCAGAGGCCGGGCGTGGACCTAAATTAAAATACTACATTAAAGACTCAGAGGCTCAGCATGGAGGCTCATGTCTGTAATCCCAGCACTTTGGGAACTCAAGGCAGGAAGATCACATGAGCCTAGGAGTTTGAGAACAACCTGGGCAATATAACAAGACCTTATCTCTACAAAAAATAAAAAATTCAGCTACGTGTAGTACGCACCAAGAGTCCCAGCTACTTGGGAGGCTAAGGAGGGTGGATCCCTTCAAACCCAGGAGTTCAAGGCTTTGGTGAGCCATGATTGCGCTACCACCCCAATGACAAAAAAAAACAAACAAAACCCTGTTGAGCTAACTGACCCAGTTTGACTGGGCCTAGGGGTTTCTCAGTACTTTCGTTGCTAAAACCAAACAAACTTAGAAGCTTAATCAACGTAGAGAAATTTCAGAATTACATTTTGGGAATATTGTTTAAAAAATTAACTGCTTTAATTTGAATCTATTTAGGTTATTAGACAGCACTACTTTGCTGATAAATTTCTTAACAAATTGGTGAAAAGAAACTTTATAGTACTGTACTTCCAGCCAAGAAAGAGATGGGATATTTTCTTGGGTTTTTTTTTTTTTTTTTTTGATGTAGGGTAATAAGGTAAACAGGTAAGATGAGAATAAGGAAGAGGATAGATGGATACTGGTAAATGTCTGTGGGAATGAATCAAGTCAAGTAGATGCCACAATCTCATAGAACCAGGTAACAGGCGTCCTTGTTTATAGAGGAAGGCCAGGTGCATTGAGGCAAATTGGTTAAGATTTAAAGAAAAGCAAAATGAAAAGATGAGATCAGAAAAAAAGAAGAAAAAGGAAAACTATGAAAGGAATATAAGTTGAAAAAGATAAAAAGATGCTCCCCCATCAGGATCTAGAACATTAATACAAGTTTCCTTTTTTTCTTTGTTAAGAAGAGAACAAAATTATTCCCTGCAAACTTTTTTAGTACCCATAACTAGTAATGAGAAATAAGAGAAAACACCTATCTCTGCCATTTTAGGTAACTTAAAAAATAGAAATGGAATTGACCAGGCAGAAAATATTCTCAAGAAATCAGTTGCTGTTATTGGAGCTTTCCATATATTTGACTACATTGCTGATAAAAATGAACATAAAGAAGTTGTGCTTCTTTATAAAATGAAAGGGGGAGCCTGGCACATTGGTGCATGCTTGTAGTTCCAGTTACTTGGGAGGCTGAAGCAGGGAGGCTTGCTTGAGCCCGGAAGTTTTAGGCCAGCCTGAGCAACGTAGTAGGACCCTGTCTCTTAAAAAACAAAAAATACATGGTTGTTCCAGGCTCGGTGGCTCAGCCTGTAATCCTGCGCCTTTGGGAGGCTGAGGTGAGTGGATTGCCTGAGCCCGTGGGTTTGAGACGCGCCTGGGCGGCGAGATCTCATCTCTACAATAAATCAAAAAATCAGCCGGGCGTGATAGCGCATGCCTGTAATTCCGGCTACTCGGAAGGCTGAGGCGGAAGGATCACCGGAGCCCAGCAGGTTGAGGCTGCGGTGGCCGGGAGCGGCCACTGCACTCCAGTCTGGGCGACAGAGTGAGACTCCAACTCAAAAAAAAAAATAGGCCAGGCATGGTGGCTTAGCCAGTAATCCCAGCACTTTGAGAGGCTGAAGCGAGAGGATTGCCTGAGCCTAGGGGTTTGAGACCAGCCTGGGCAACTTAGTGAGACCTCATCTCTACAATAAATTGCAAAAAAACCCCACAACAAACTAGTCGAGCATGGTGGCATGTATCTATAGTTCCAGCTACTTGGAAGGCTAAGGCGGAAGGATCACCTAAGTCCAGAAGGACAAGGCTGTGGTGGCCATGAATGTGCTACTGCACTCCAGCCTGGGCGACAAAAGTGAGACTCCAACTCAAAAAAAAAGGGGGGGGGGGCGATTGGAAAAAAGAAGATTTTCCAAGATTATATTCTGACCACTACTAATATATTTTGAGATGTATTTTAGCACTTTAAAATTGAAAAATTTTGAAAGAAATGTTTTGACCTACTTTCTAGATGTTATTCTTTTTTTTTTTTTTAACAATATTTGTTGATTTGTTTTAATCCTAATAGATTTTCAAGATGCTATTTATAAATAACAAATTATGAACCATTTTTATATAGATATTTTCATATGTATTTGAATAACAGAAAGTGGAACAGGGATAAATAGGAAAGAAGAAGAATTCAAAACTTAACCCTGGAACCTAAAAGGAGAAAGTAAGACATTTACAAAGCAGAGTATTTATTAAGTCATTATTTTTTAAATACTGAGTTATCTTTTATCAGATTCCATTTCTACTTAAGATTGGAGAGGGGCAAATAGCCAGCCTAGAGTTGCCCGAGACATATTTCTCAAAATGCTGTTGGAGATTCAGTAAACCAAACCTTTCTATCAGTCCCCCTCCAATCTGAGCAATGTATATGTATTTTTTTTGTTTGTTTTTTGTTGAGTAGGTGTCTCACTCTGTTGCCCAGGGTGGAGTGCAGTGGCACTCTCACAGCCACCGCAGCCTTGACCTGCTGGGCTCAGGCAATCCTCCCGCCTCAGTCTTCCAAGTAGCTGGAACCACAAGCTTGCACCACCACACCTGGCTAATTTTTTATTTATTGTAGAGATGAGTTCTCGCCAAGTTGCCCAAGCTGGTCTCAGGCAATCCTCTCACTTCTGCCTCCGAAAGTGCTGCGATTACAGGAGTAAGCCACCACTCCCGATGTGAGCTGTATATTAAGACAAGTCAGATGGGAAGACGAAGGATGTAAGTGGTAACTTTCTGTACAGTCCTCGCAGTGGTATAGACACGAAGACCTGAAAACCACACTTCAGAGGATGCTGGGTCAGCCATTTTTTGTTGGGTTCCCAAGCATTATTTCTAATCTCTTGATAAATTAGTTCATCAAAAGGAAACATTCTGTTTTTAAAAAGCCAAGTTATAGCTATCTTTTGTTGTAGATGACGATTTAATTCAAGATTTCTTGTGGATGGACTGCTGCTGTAAAATTGCAGACAAGGTAAATTTAGCACCAATATAATCAGTAGCTGGCGTTATGTAATGAGACCATTAGAGCTTTAGTGAGATCTTATACAAATTTTCTGTCTCATTAAGGTTAAGAAAAGAGCAAGCTTGCATTTCTCCATCAAAGTAGAATCTCTTGCATCAGTTTGTGTTAGCAAAAGAAAAGAGAAAAAAGAATGCTTACATGTTAATTTTTGGAATTAGTATATCTCATAGATTCAGTCTACACTTCAGGAATTGTAGGTTATTATTAATTCAATTTTAGTGACTTTAGATCCATATCTGATTGAAAACAAAAGTCAGTGTAGATTTAATATATTTCATCCAAAATTATTACCTTTTATTAGGCTGTAGAGAAAAAATATTTTGAGATTTACTTCACTAAAACAGTCTGCATTTTAATGTTTTGTAAATAGCTCAGAAAACAAATCCCAATAATTTTGTAGAGTTAAATCAGTTTAACCTGTTCTTTATTTAGGAATCAGTTTTATAAAATAATATTTAACTTACATATTAGGAACAGTGGTGTTTCTGTATTCTTTAGATTTAGTTGAACAGTTAAAATTTCAGCTTTATAAATGCCATTTTATGCCATCATATTAGAATATTCAACTTGACTGCACATTACACTTAAAATAGTGTGTCAACCAACAGAAAAAGGAATGGATAGAATGTTAGCTTAGGATATGAACATTTTAATTTCAAGCTTAAGACTGGTGGCTCATGCCAGCACTTTGGGAGGCTGAGGCGGGAGGATTGCTTGAGCCAGGAGTTTGAAAGCAGCCTGGGCAACATATCAAGACTTTGTCTCTACAAAAAAAAAAATAAATCATGGGCATGGTGGTGGGGCATGGTGGTGTGCACCTGTAGTCTCAGCTACTTGGGAGGCTGAAGAGGGAGGATCACCTGAGCCCAAGAGGTCAAGGCTGTGGTGAGCCGTGATCATGACACTGCGCTCCAGCCTAGGTAACAGAGTAAAACCTCAAAGCAAAAAAAAAAAAAAAAAAAAAATTCAACTTAAGATGACAAGAATAAAATAGAAAGCTTTAAAAATTTTTTAATTTCATTTTGGAAAATTTCAAACATACCCAACTTTAGGTAGAAAGAACAGGACCAAAGACTCTCCACATGCCTCTCGTCTGGCTACAACAGATCTTCACCTGATGGCCACTCTTGTTTCTCTAGCTCCTCTCACCAAAGACTGGACTGTTTGAAAGCACATCCCAGGCATCCTAACATTTTACCCTTAATATTTCATAATGTATCTCTAAAAGTAAGCGGTCTTTTAAAACATAATTACAATGTCACAAACACTTTTAATGTCAAACGTCCAATTATGTGGAGTTGCGAAGTTTTAAACTTGACAGTTTGTTTGTTTGTTTGTTTTTGCTTTTGTTTTTTGAGGCAGACTGGAGTGCAGGGGCACGCTCATGGACACCGCAGCCTCAACCTGCTGGGCTCAGGCAATCCTCCCACCTCAGCCTTCCAAATAGCTGGAACCATAAGCATGCTCCACCACGTCCAGCTAATTTTTTTGATTTATTGTAGAGATGAGGTCTCTCCAAGTTGCCCAGGCTGGTCTTGAACCCCTGGGTTCAGGCAATCCTCTCGCCTCCGCCTTCCAAAGTGCTGGGATGACAGGCATGAGCCACCACACCCGGCTGAACTTGACAGTTTTAGGGTGCATCCAAATTATTGGACAGTAGGGGGCAGTGTTTGAAAAGTAACAAGCCAGGAGTTCTGTATCTAAACTGTCTCAGGAGTACTTTACTGAAAAGTGCCTTGGATACTTGGAATCACCTTTGGGGCAAATCCTGTTATAATAGGATGAATAAGTGTTTTATGAGTGAGAATCTGAAGCATTAAAAATATAACTTAGCCGGGCTCGGTGGCTCAGCCTGTAATCCCGCGCCTTTGGGAGGCTGAGGTGAGTGAATTGCCTGAGCCCGCGGGTTCGAGACCCGTCTGGGCAGCGAGACCTCATCTCTACAATAAATAAAAAAATCAGCCGGGCGTGGTAGCGCATGCCTGTAGTTCCAGCTACTTGGAAGGCTGAGGCGGAAGGATCGCCGGAGCCCAGCAGGTCCAGGCTGCGGTGGCCGGGAGCGGCCACTGCACTCCAGTCTGGGCGACAGAGTGAGACTCCAACTCAAAAGAAAAAAATAATAATAATAATAATAATATAACTTGTTTTTCATTTGAACTGTCATAATCTAGTGTATGTTCTGTTAGGCTAGATGCATAATGTAGCTTTCTAATAATAGATTTAAAAAACATTTTCCCCATGAAAATAGAGCCAGATTATTCTAATTTCTGGAGTCATTTTTTAAAGTTGTGTTAAAAAGTAAGTATGGATGTCTGTAACTAACTCAAAGGATCCATAAAAAGTTATGTGTACATCTACACACAAATAGAGGTATCAAATGTGAGAAAATACTGACAATTGGTGAATCTAAGTGAAGGATGTGTGATTATTCATTTTACTGTTATTTCAACTTCTGTATAGGTTTGAAATTTAAATTAGAAAAAAATGAAGTTTTAGCTCAAAAACCTTGTCTAGAGTTACTCAAGACACATTTCTCAAAGTGCTCTTGGACCTTCTGTAAACCATTCTAGTTGATCTTAATAATGATAAACAGTAGATAGCTATTTTTGACTGTTCACATGGATTACAGGAAATCGAAAATAAGTACACAAATGGTAATTCTACAGTAAGGAGAAATAATACTTTGTTGTTTTAACTTATTAATAAAAAGCATTTTAAGTTAACTATTTTAAAGCAGTTTTATTTATGAAAGCAAAACATTAATATTAATTTTTAACTTTTTTCCATGTAGTATCTTTTGGCTATGACCTTTGTTTATTTCAAGAGAGCTAAATTTACTATAAGTGAGCATACCAGGATAAATTTCTTTATTGCTCTGTAAGTATACTTTCAACTAAGTGATTTTTGTGTTATTTATAATATACACGATACCTTATTATAAACCTATAAACCAAGGCTGTTTAAAATGTTACTGATGAGGAAACAGACTTAGGAAGATTAATTACTTTCCAAGATCATACTGGTAAGCAGTAAAGCTGGGGTGCAGATTCAGGTGTGGTTTACCATGACTAAATTCAGTCACTGACCACGAAGTTAAATTGCTCATTACATTTCTCATTATCGTATTATATGTGGACGTGGATGCAACTTTGTAGTTTTTTCACCTGACGAAGCATAAACCAAAAGGAGCTTTAGTTTAAATCTTACTAGATGCCTGAAATTAAATTTTTTTCACGTGTTTGTGAGGTTATTAGCAGTAAAGCACTACTCATTTATCCAAGATAGTTGTCTAGTTACACTGTCTTTGTGTTATAAGCTCCATAGTAAACACAAACTATAATTTTCATTCTGTGTCATACTTTTTATGTAGCCTCTCGTTAAATATATTCTCAGTTAGCCACAGTTCTTTCCTGAATAGTCTGTTGATAGGTCCTTTCTATGTATTCTGAGAACACTCTGAACAGCTATTATCATTCTTCCATACTCTCCTTTACAGTTATCTGTTTCATACTTACTTGCCTCCTCTGTTGAATTGTAGTCTTCTTATTGGCAAGGAATGTGCATCTTCTTATTTCATCTTCCAGTGACTAACATAGGAGGTTTTTAATTCTTTATTAGACATATTTAACTATTATGCAAAAGAAGTGGACGCAACATCAAGGAAATCTGACAGTCTCAAATTAGAGGACAACATGGATACAACACAGAGATTTTGTCATATTGAGCCTAAAACAGTTCATCATGAGTAGAATCATGGTGTGGTGATGTGACACCATGGAACACGACAGATATTTTAGTTGGCTAGTACATAAGGAGTCGACCTTGGGCTCAATTTGCCCATGTTAAGAGCTACCGTGGAAACTAAAGACATTACTATCATTTCACAGAGGATATGATTTGGCCCATAATAGATAACCGAATGGGCTTTTACAATGAAGTGCTTTATAATAAGGTAATATTAAAGTATGCAGTTATGATAAGGGAGAGTAGTAGATGTTCATTTTATATTACTGTAACTGGAATGTACACATGCACATGCTTAAAAAGAAGGGATACAATTAAAAGTAAGTTTTTTTCCTCTCTCAGACCTTGGTCTCCCTTTTCAAAGACAAGTTAACCGTTTCATGTGTATCTGCCAAGAAATAATTTTCTGTACATGGATCAGTATGTACATGTATTACATAAATGGAAGTATACTACACACACTCTTCTGTGCTTTTAATTTTTTAATGTGAAATATGTACAAAAGCACATGGAATGTGTGTGCATGTGTGGAAGAATAAAATTAAAGCAGATATCTGGGTACCTGTGTCTCAGCTTAAGAAGAGAGCATTGCCAGAATCTTAGAGGCTCCCAGAATAGTTTTCCAATCAAACCGACCTCCTTCCCTTCCACAGTAATCACTTTCTTGCTCTTCTTTATTCTAATTATGCAACTCAAAATAATACATTACTTGGTTTTTCTTGTCTTTAGCTCCATAAGAGAATCATGTGTGCTGTCATTCTGTGCATTCCTTCTTTTGCTTTTATAATGTTATGACTTCCAGATTCATTGATATTGATATGTGTAGCTATAGTTAATTTTCACAACTGAGTAATTCTATCATTGCTTATAGTTTTGAATTTTTTACTGTAATTTAAGTGCTGTTTGCCTCCTTTTTTTTCCTGTTTCTTCTTTCCCTTCCATTCTTATCTTGTTTTTATTTGAAGTGTTTTGACATCTTTTTTCCTCTGCTTGTTTGGAGAGGATACAAGCTATATCCTTTGAGCAATTACCTGTCATGTGTCTCATAAGAACCTTAAGCATTTTCTCTCTAATCACCTCCAATGCAGTTAATATTCCCTTGTTTTGCAATTATGTTGTTCAGCACGATGACCTCCAGCAAGTTAGACAGCAAGTATGATTGTTTTAGACATTTAACATTTGTTGAGATTTGCCCACATATTTATATCTTTGTTTAACATTCCTTCTTGCATCTCAGGAATTCACTTGAGATCATTTGCTGTCCTTTCTGGCTTCTTTTAAAACCTTTTTCTGGCCAGGCCCATGGCTCAGCCTGTAATCCCAGCACTTTGGGAGGCCGAGGCAAGTGGATTGCCTGAGCCCGCAGGTTCAAGACCAGCCTGGGCAACTTGGCGAGACCTCATCTCTACAATAATTCAAAAAATTAACCGGGTGTGGAAGTGCGCACCAGTAGTTCAGCTACTTGGAAGGTTGAGGCGGAAGGATTGCCGGAGCCCAGCGGGTAAACTCTGGGGTAGGTGAGTGTGCCACTGCACTTCAGCCTGGGCGACGGAGTGAGACTCCAATTAAAACAAAAACCCAAAAAACCTTTTTCTTAGGCCAGGCACAGTGGCTCAGGCCTATAATCCCAGCACTTTGGGAGGCCAAAGTGAGAGGACTGCTTGAGCCCATGGGTTCGAGACCAGCCTGGAGAATTTGACAAGACCTCATCTCTACATTAAATCAAAAAATTAGCCAGGCATGGTGGCGCATGCCTGTGGTTCCAGCTACTTGGAAGACTGAAGTGGAAGGATCACCTGAGCCCAGCAGGTTAAGGGTACGGTGACCGTGAGCGTACAACTGCACTCCAACCTGGATGACAGAGTGAGGCTCCAACTCAAAAAAATAAAAAATAAAAGCTTTAACTTTTATCTTTGGTGTTTAGAGCTGGTTTCTTTTTTATGACCTGCTTGGAATTTGATAAACTTCCTGGATTTGAAGATTGAAGTCTGACAGACAACTCCTAGAGAACTTTAGTCTCTGCAAATGTCCCTCCTCATCCACTCTACTATCTCCTTTTTGAAACCAATTAAATATATTGTACCTCACTCTGTGACCCAGAGTGGAATGCAGTGACATGCTCACCCCCACCACAGCCTTCACCTGCTGGCTTAGGCGATCCTTCCAAGTAGCTGGAATCACAGGAATGAGCCACCACACCCAACTAATTTTTTTTTTTTTAATTATAGAGATGAGATCTTGCCAAGTTGCCCATACTGGTTTTGAACTCCTGGGCTCAGGCAGTCCTCTCACTTCCACCTTCCAAAATGCTGGGCTGACAGGTGTGAGCCTGGCTTCGATAATTTATTTCGATTTATCTTTCAGTTCACTGATCTGATTTTCAACTTTTGTTTGGTATGCTAATTAATTTCATTGTAAAATTTTCATATATAGACATTCTATTTTCTTGTTTGTTAAATATACCTATGCTCTTATATTATCAAGCTTTTAATTTTTTTACACATAATGGACATAGTTACTTATATATTCTACGTGTACTAATACCAGTATCTTCAGACTTCAGAGTCTGTTTCTGCTCATGGTGCCTTGTTCCCTTATGTATGCTGCAATATTTTTATTGTAAGTTGCCCATTTTTCTTGGAAAGTCATCTGTAGGGCTTGCATTATTTCTGATGAGAAATCTGCTCTATTCTTGTTTTTGTTCTTATGTTATCTAATATGTTCTTTTTCCTCCTTTAGGATTTTTTTCTTTAGTACTGGTTTTGAACAATTTGATTAGGATGTACCTTGGTTTAATTTTCTTTATGCTTCTTGTGCTTTGAGGTTTATTGAGTTTATTTGTGGGTTATAGTTTTCATCAAATTTCAAAATCTTTCAGTTGTTGTTCCTGCAAATATTTTTCTGTCTACCTCTGCCCTTCAGAGACTCCAATTTCACCTTTATTAATAGGTTTCTTGAAGTTGTCCCACATCTAGTTGATGCTTTGTTTATGATTTTTGTTTCTTTTTTCTGTTTCATTTTGTATGTTTCTAACTCTGTGTCTTCAATTCATCAAATCATCTACAGCATTTAATCTGTCATTAATTCTGTTCTGTGTATTTTTCATTGCAGGCATTGTAGTTTTTATCTCTAGAAGTACATTTTCAATACGTCCACTTAAGTTTTGAACATATAGAATAGTTATAACAGTTTTAATGTCCCTGTCTGTTATGCCTACCAGCCGTGTCTAATTTTTGGGTTGGTTTTCATTGAATATGATCCGTACTATGAGTAGTGTTTTCCTGCTTCTCTGCATGCCTTATCCCTCTAAGGTATTCGGCAGAATACTGAGCTTCATATGTGTGTAAGGAAAGTATCTGAGTCTGAGGAAAAAGGGTAAGAAAAGAGTAGGGGAAACAGTGCCTGCCATTCACATAGGGCTGGAAATAGTGCCTGATCCCACTAACCAGACTGGAAAGACTCGGAATTCCTGGAGTACTGGGAAGAGTGCTCAGGAAGGTTGACCCTTAGTAGTGGGGGATGATTAGCTCTAGACTGGACATTGCCACCAGAGAAAGCATAAAGGCCACAATTGGAAGGGTCAGACTACCTGCATCCCAGAACAAAGCTTGGGATTTATAGGAACTGCACCTCTATTTTTTATTTGCATTTCTTTAATTATAGGTAAGGCTAAACATCTTTCATATATTTATGAGCCATTTCTTTGTGTGTTTCTGTGTGTGTGTGTATGTGTATTACCTGTTTTTGTCTTTTACCCATTTCTTTTTTTGGGTTGTTGGTCTTTGTTAGGTATCTGGCTAATACAGTTGAAGAAGATGAAGAGGAATCCAAGTATGAAATTTTTCCATGGGCTTTAGGGAAAAATTGGAGAAAATTGTTCCCTAATTTCTTAAAGTTAAGGGACCAACTCTGGGATAGAATTGACTGTAGGGCTATTGTAAGCAGGCGATGCTGTGAGGAGGTAAGGATTTTTAAATACTTTATGTAATCTTTGCTTTCTGTTTATCTAATTCTCCTTGTTTTTTAATGCGCTGCTCCTGTTTTGCACTTTTACAAAATATGTAGGGTAAACCATTTTCCTTGATCATTACCATGATATACAACCTGTGTATTAAAATGTTTTAATTTTAATTTTGTATCACTATAATTAAAGATAGTAAGTTCTGTTTTTTAGAGTAGCCTGCTTCTGTGGTATTCTTAGTTTAGTGTGTATCTTTTGTCTAAAGGATCACCAATATATTGGAAAGGAGTGATGTGAACATACCAGACTATCTTAGTGAGGATAGTAATAACACTGGAGTTGAACAACAATTTCCCCTAAATAAACTATGTGAAATTTCAGGTTCCCGAAATTGAAATACCAATAGCATGGTACATAATTTAAATAAATTTAAATATTTTTTTAAACCATGGCTCTTTTCATATGGACATATTAAGTTTCATTGATGTCAAATTTTATTAAGATTTAGTTTCCATCAGGAAACTAAAAACTTAATCATTTTATCAAATGTTCTGGTTTTTAATAAAGTTAATATTTCAAGCTAGAGAAAAATTCTAGAGTAGATAATTAAATTGAAAGCAGTGGTCACTGTAAGCTCTAGTACTAGTTCAGAAAAGTTTGCTAAATGTAGGATGGATAATGCTGTAAATAAATGAGAATCTATCCAGTTAAATGACTACAGGCCAAAAGAGCCAGTTAGTGGATTAGTGTCAAACTTGAGGGAGGACTTGAGTGATGTGTCACAGATTTCTGCCCAGAACTAACCTTGTTAATTATATTCATATTTGTGGATTAAACTTAATTAAGAGGATTGTTGACTATTGGGGAACGTGCAAGGATTCAGAAGTAACGTAGAGGATTATACAGCAGGCCAAGTATTTACAAGATTAATTCAATAGAAAAAGGTGAAAAGTTGGGCGTATAAAGGCCTCCCCAAATTGATGGATCCTCATTAAAGTATTCAAACTTGGAGAATTCCAATTATAGAACATTGGAAGAGTCCTACATTGTCACTGTTTTTGTCACTACTTCCTAGTGGATAGTTTGTGCACCTGTTGCCATCCTTGGAAGTGGCAGGGCTGTGTTTGAGCACTCTGGTGTTTTTCAAAGTAAATTCTTCACACCCTTTAGGACATTCAGCTAAGGGCACAGAGGAGGACCAGGAGCAAGAAGCTGGGACCAGTGGTGGCTAATCTCATGGCAGACTGCCCACCCATGCTCAGGACACAGTGGCTGGCACCTGCACTGCAACTGTGTCACTATACACGACTGGGGCTGCTGGCACTGACTACAAAAGGGCCAAAGAGAAGGATGTGGCTTACTAACAAGCATGTGAAAGACAACAAAGTTTCAGACAGCTGTCAGCTCAGTTACATAATGGGATGCAGAGAGAAGTTTACTCTCAGGTGACAGAGAAGACGAGGCCGTCATCAGATTACACCTACAACACTGTGTCTGGTTGTGCATACCACACTCAAGAACAGACCAACAGCTGTCTCCAGGGAGAACAACCAGAATAGGGCCGGGTCGCAGAAGGAAAGTGTCATATGCGGAATACTCAAAAGGATCCAGGATGTCTAGTAGGAAGAAAGCTTGCTAGCCGCTTTCAGATATTCACAGGATCACAGTGGAGCACAAAATATATTTGATTTGCCTTTTTTTTTTTTTGGCTATAAAGCAGAGAACTAAGATCTGTAGATGGATAAAATAGCTCAACATTCAGAATGTTATTCTAATGACCCTGAAGATGAGATGGACTCTTCTAAAGGCAATGATTCCCATCACTGGTGATCGTATAAAAACAAGCTTCTAGTCACAGGAGATTCATGCTCTAGAGAAGTCATTAAACTAGATTGCCACTAATGTTTCTACAGACTCTTTATTTTGCGTGTGCAAAGTTATAAAAAAACTTCATCCTCCAGCTACCACTACATGGCTCTGTCACCTTATAACTACTTGAAGAGCTATCTCTATCTGTCTCCACTTCCTTTCCTTCGAGGCTTCTTGAACCGGGTATACAAAATCTTGTCATTCCATAGAAACTTGTTAAGGCACAAGATGTCTCTGCATTGCCAAATCCAAAGGTTAGTCCTAAGTCCTCATCTCAGCAGCAGCATTTGACAGTCCCTCATTTCTCCCAAAAAACACTCTCTTGATTTTGAGGATACCAGGGTTTTTTTTAAAGTGACTTTTGCCAGTTCCTTTTCACCTCACCAACTTCATCAGAGTGCCACAGAGCTCAGTCATAGGACGTCTTCTCTTCTCTGCAGATATTACTAGTGCTCTCATTCACTCTCAAGGCCTTGCCATGGACAATGAACAGATCTCTCCCAATTCCAGATCTGCCTATCAAATTGCCTCTGGATTTTTTTTTTTTTTTTTTTTTTGTCTAATTGGTATCTCAAACTTAGCATGCCCAAAACTGAACTTCTAATTCCCTTACACAGATCTCCAAACCTGCTCCTCCTGAGGCCTTCCCTCATGTTACTAAATAGCAACTCCTTCCCTTTAGTTGCTCAGGCCAAAATCTGCTCCCCTTGACTCTTTTTTTCACACCCATACCTTGAAAAAATATGCAGCATCCTACCTTTTCCCACCAACTTCACCATTAACACTCTACTTTTATTATCATCTCTTGTTCATCTCCTTGCTCACTACCCCCCAGCTGCACCGGCCTCCTGGCTGCTCCTCAGACATCCCTGGCACACTCTTCTCTGAGGGCCTTTGCACTTGCCCTTCCTGTGACCTGGAAGGCCTTTGCCCCAGAGAGCAGTGTGCTTCCCTTCCTAGCTAAATGTCACCTTAGGCCTTTTCTTATCACCTTATGTAAAGTAGTATCTCCCTCTGTGGAAGAGAATTGAAGTGTCCAGAAATAAACTCTCACAATTATGTTCAACTGAATTTTGACAAGGGTGCCAAGAAAATTCAGTGAGGAAAGTAGAGTCTTTTCAATAAATGGTGCTGGGACAACTGGATATCTACTTGCGAAAGAATGAAGTCTGACCCCTACTTTGCACCATATATTAACACTAATTCAAAATGGATCAAAGACCTAAATGTGAGGGTCAAAACCATAACACTCTTAGAAGAAAATATCGGGGTAAACCTTCATGACCTCGAATTAGGTTTCTTAGATAAGAGACCAAAAGCAACAAAAGAAAATATAAAGTGGACATCAAAATTAAAACCTTTTGTCCTTCAAAGGACACCAAGTGGAGAGACAGCCCACAAAATGGGAGATAATTTTTATGTTTTCTATTTGATAAGGGACTTGTATCATTAAGAGAATCCAGTTAAAAAGTTGGCAGTGGATCCAAATAGACATTTCTCCAAAGAAGATAAACAAATTTCAAAACACATGAAAAGACATTCTTTGACATTAGCAATGATGTTGCTGATAGAATACCCCAAATGAAAACTGTACCCACACAAAAACTTGTACATGAATGTTCATAGCATTATTCATAGTAGCCAAATGTGGAAACACCTCACATGTCCACCAACTGATGAATGGATAAACAAAATAGGGTATTTGCCGTACAATGAAATATTAGTTCGTGATTAAAAGGAATGAAGAACCTGGTACAAACTGGATGAATCCAGTCACAAAGGACCACATACTGTGTGATTCCGTTTATGTAAAATGTCCAGAATAGACACATTCAAGGAGATAGAAAGTAGATTAGTAGTTACCAAGGGCCGAGAGGAGGGAGAAGTGGGGTGTGACTTCTTTCTTTATGGGATGATGAAAATGTCACAGAATTGATTGTGGTGATGGCTGTGCAACTCTGATTATATTCAATGTCATTGAATAGTACTTTTTTTTTTAGTCGAAGTCTCATTCTGTTGCCCAGGCTGGAGTGCAGTGGCACGCTCACAGTCACCACAGCCTCAGCCGACTGGGCTCAGGTGAGCCTTCCGTCTCAGCCTTTCAAGTAACTGGAACCACAGGCTTGTGCCACCACGCTCGGCTAACTTTTTGATTTATTATAGAGACAATGTTTCACCAAGTTGGTCAGGGCTGGTCTCAAACTCCTGAACTCAGGCGGTTCTCTCACCTCTGCCTCCCAAAGTGCTGGGATTACAGGCGTGAGCCACCACACCTGAAGAACATGAATTGTACATTTTAAATGGGTGATGGTGTTTGAATTATATCTGAAGGCTATTAAAATAAGAAATAGCACTATTTATTACACAATTACGCTGTATTACCTTTCTCAGATCCCATTTTCTTCATAGCACTAAACCACCATATAATATACCCTTTTATTTTATTTTTTTTACTATTTATCTTGCTAATGTTTATTTTCCTCAACTATAAAATAAATTCCAAGAGGGCAGAGTATTTTGTTCTTATTGTATCTTCCAGTGCCTAGAACAGTGCCTGGCACATAGTAGGTACTCTAAATATTTCCTGACTGATAAAATGAAGGATTAAAGTTTCCAATTCTTTTCCGTACCTTCTTATCCATGAGATAGAAAAACAGTAAACTTTAGGTTAATCCTTCACCGAGTTCTCTTTGCGTTGTTCCTTATTCCACTGGTGAACACACAAGCTGCTATTTGGCTGCTTCAAACACCAAGTACATTTGAATCATGTTGATGTGTAGGAAAGGCAACTACCCAATAGGTTTTATCTGTTCTCTTAGATGTTCATTGGACAGTTAATCTATGAGTGACACACCAAGTGCAGTGCTGGGGAAGCTTATTATAAAGAATTATTATATCACCCCATTCCCATTGCTGAAGCAGCAAGACAAGCTTGTTGGAAATTCAAGTATTCTGTGCATTGAAAGCCTGGTAGTGACCTTCCACCAGACAAAACATTTCTTTAGTCTGATATCCTAAAATAAACCCGAGTTAACATAGTAGCTGCAAACTGGCTTATGATAATAATACTTTATGTTTACATAGAGCTTTACAGATTATAAATATTTTTACATAAGTTGTCACACATACCTGTGAGGGTGGTGGCACTCTCATCTTGCAGCTGATGAAACTGAGGACTAAGGAGGTGGGGCTGCCTCAAGAATGTGTAAGTGGCAGAGCCAGAACTTGACTTCACATCTGATGTCTTCCCAGTGTTGTTTTCTCTGTGACATCAGCTGCTGTATAATTCTCTCATATCAGTTAGTTTAGAAAATGCATTTATCTTATTTTGTCAGGGGAATTAAATAGCCTAATTATTCTTTCCATTTCACAGATGAAACTGTGTCTTAGAAAGATTGTGTCTTGTCCAAGCCATCAAGTCACTAAATGGTAGACCCCGCATACTTAAACTCAGCACTCTTTCTGTTATACACCACTGTCAAAAGAAGGAACGAACATATGTGATCCTTTCAGATCATGGATTTTATATGTCTCTTTTCTAACTCTGGCTGCACAGATGCTAGAAACCGAACATTATTTTTAACCATATCGACTCTACTGCATTTTATTCCTGGTGTGTCTGCTTTCCCCCTCTAGTCCAATTTTCTCTTTTAGGTTCCAGCTCAGTGAACTTTTTTTCTCTTTTTGTCAGCTGCTTCATCCTTGTTTAGAAAGAGGTGGGTATGATTAAACTGAACTATAGATATTGGCTTCTCCAGAAAAGGTAGACTATTTCTCTACTTTGATTTTGTTATCTTCTTATGAGAAGATTACCTTTTTTGACATCAGCTCCTTTGAGGTGGAATTTATTTACATTGGTGATGGATTAATTTCTAGACTTACAGATCAGGGAGGATGCCTACTGAATGAGAGTCAGACTACATTTCCAGTCCCTTCCATGCACCATGGAGGGAAACAATGTAACCAAGTTTTTCTCTTCCTGTGTACTCTGGAAGAGATGCCACAGTATCATCATAGTTGTGTTCTCCTTTAACTGTGATTTGATCCAGATTAGGAATTTAGAAAGCAGTGATGTAATTAATATAAGCAGTGTGTTTGGACAGAGTAATCCAATGCCAGAATGCAGAAGAGACCCTATAGGGAATGCACAAGGATGTGCACAAGACAGCAGTACTGAAGAACATGAAATCAGTGTTAGAAAGGTTACGCAACTATAGTTCATCACTTGGTGACCAGTTGAATATAGGGTGTATGTATGGGAGAGGGAGTTGTCAGCTTCAAGTCTGTGACAGGAAGGATAGTGGATTCCACAATGGAAATAGGGAAGACTATGGAAGAAAGCTGGCTTATTGGAAAGACAAGGAATTTGGTATTTAAACATGAATAAGGTGATAATGATAACTAAATGAATGGTCAGCAGGTATGGTTAGGTGGGGCATCACGTATAAGTGATGTTGAAAGCTTAGTATATGTAAGAAATTCAAGGTGAAAGTCATGTTAATACTTTTTAATAAGTTGCCAGGTATTGTTCTCAATACTGCACATGTATTAATAACTCTCACAATAATTCTTAAACCTAGCTAGGTAAACCCAAATAAGGAAACTAGGGCACAGAGAGGTTAGGTGACTTCTCCAAGGACACACATGAATAAAGCAGCACACTCAGTATTCAAACCTAAGCAGATCAGTGTTTTGTTTTTTCTTTTTGTACCCATCTCCTGGCTGGAGTGGGGAGAAGCTGACCGGGTTGGTTTTGACAGTCAGTGCTCTTAACACCTGTACTGAACTACTTCTTGAGATCACAGACAGAGTATAGGTAGAGAAAAACAGGGCCAAGTGTCAGATTTTAGGAGCACCCACCAAAGGCACCCCCCAAAAATCAAGCATGACAGAAGATAAAGTTAAGGATGATGTTTCCAGTAGTTCTCAGAGACTTAAGTCACTTTCTTAGAATCAGCATTGGGAGACTGAAAGTGCCCAGTTTTCTCATAATAAGATACCTTGTGGCCCAGAAAGTTACATAATGTGCCCAAGGTCATAGTACCAATACAATTACAACCAAAATCCAGCTCTCTTGACTCTGGTACAGTTTTATTTTTAATTCACAATAACATTCTAATTTTATGATGTGCATATAGAGTATATGTAGATACATTAAACAGTAATCAAGTGCAGGTGAGTGTGCGTCTAGCTGGGTTAGCAGGTGGAAAGACTATGATGCCTAGCTTACAGCAAAAGAGCAGTGTGCTAGACTTTCCAGGTTATGCCCCTTGCTTCCTTCTTCCTCTGCTCTTCTCGTGACTCTGCTATGGATTTCTATACAAGTCACGCAGTTGAAGGTTCATGATGTTAATGACCGCTAATGCTTCATTACTTCCATTTGTCATTAAAGATGGTGGATCTCGGAGGCCATTGCCTTGCTTAGCTATGTTGTGGCCATGTACTCTTTGAGCTATGGCCAGGCCGTATTTCTTGGCTTTGGCTTCCTTCCCTACCTGGGGAGGGGAATCTCCTCTTTCTCTCTCATTTACTTTCTAAATAAACTACTATATTTTCTAATCTAAAAAAAATGATGAATCTCAGTACGAGACACTTAACATGCTAACAGCCCCCAAGGTGGTGTTAGCAATAAGGAACACCTGAAAGCTGGAATGTTTAGAAGGCTAGGACTTGGGCAGAGTCTTGAGGGAAAAATGACCCTAAGACGGAGGAGAGGACCCTCCAGACATCGGGAATCGAGATAATAGAAGCAGTGAGGAAAAACAGTGTATAAATACGGAAGAAACAAGAAATTCGAACACTCTCCTCTTCTCGCCTTAGGAAGCTTTGAACCTAGTTTTTCATTCTTACAGAAATGATTTCAGTTGGCGTTAACATTTTTATTTACTTACACTTTTTAAATATGTTAATTTGTTATATGTCTTCAGTTGAAAACCTCTGAAGGATTTAGAAAGCAAATTATTAAATAGATCAAATCCTAAAATATACTTTAAAAATTAATACAGGACCGGGCACAGTGGCTCAAGCTTGTAATCTCAGCACTTTGGGAGGCCAAGGCAAGAGGATTGCATGAGCTCAAGGGTTCGAGACCAGCGAGGGCAACTTGGCGAGACCTCGTCTCTACAATAAATCAAAAAATCTATTGATTTTTTGCACACCTGTAGTTCCAGCTACTTGGAAGGCTGAAGCAGAAGGATTGCCGGAGCCCAGCAGTTTGAGGCTGCAGTGGCCATGAGCATGCCACTGCACTCCAGCCTAGGCAACAGAGTGAGACTCTTGACTTAAAAAAAAAAAAAAATCAGCCAGGCATGATTGTGCACACCTATAGTCCCAATTACTCAGGAGTCTGAGGCAGAAGAATCACCTGAGCCCAGGAGGCCAAGGCTGTGGTGATCCATGATTATGCCACGGCCCTCCAACCTGGGTGACAGAGTGAGACTGACTCAAAAAAAAAAAAAAAAAGAAAGAAAGGAAAGGAAAATAATTAACATAGTATTCCCTATACCATTATCTTGATGGAGGCCACAGTGACTCCCATTTTCTGAAGGAAATCCTTTTTTTAAAGGTTTTTACGTTAAACAGCAAAAGCCTTCTTTCCAAACAGAATTGTACACACAGTTCCCATAATTGAGCTGTTCTGCCTGTTCTGTCTTCCCTTTGCCCATTCAGAACTCCTAGTATATCTCTGTGAAACCACAGGACACTCTAAACAATTTGAAAATCACTGGTCTAGGCAATTAGTAAGGCTCCATCTAGCTCTCAGATGCTACAGTTCTCACATACTCTGGGCCACCAATGACTGCAGCTAAAGATTTTTGCTTAGAAATATTAGATTTCATGAGGTCAGCACATAGGTACATTTCTCTAGCTTGGCTTCTTTTTTTCTTTTTTAGCTGGAGTCTCACTCTGTCAGCCAGGCTGGAATGCAGTGGCATGCTCACGGTCACCTCAGCCTTGACCTGCTGGGCCTAGGCGATCCCTGTACCTCAGCCTACCAAGTAGCTGGAACCATAAGCATGTGCCACCACGCCTGGTTAATTTTTTTATTTATTAGAGACAAGCTCTCGCCAAGTTGCCCAGGCTGGTCTCAACCTAGCTTGACTTCTTAAATGGCTATTATTTGACAGATGTCTTACCATGTGGTGATTTTACACATATCTAATCCTCAGAAAAATCCTGTGAGGTAGATAGTATCCACAACCTAGAGGTGATGAAATTGAGCCTCAGAAAGGTTAAAAAACTTGCCACATATCATGCAGCCAGCAAGTGGCAGTGCCAGGATAAGAAACAAAGTCTGTCCTGACTCTCAAGTCCATGTTTTATTCAACAAGCCTTATAGAATGATGTCCGGCAGTGAGACTTCTAAATGCCTCATCTAATCCTCACAAAAAAACTCTAAAATACACACTTATTATCTGCATACTACAAATGAGGAAACCGAGGAACATAAGTTAACCTCACCTGTGTTCTTACTCACCGTATCACTTGCCAGTATTGCATTTTAACATTTGCCTAACACATACACACGAACCTCAGTTATCTTATTTTTAACCCAACACATTCCAAAGTTAAGAATTATGTACTATTTGGGGGTAATTGTATTATCTTTCCCAAAGTTAGAATATCCAGAATCTAAAAATTGGAAGTTTGCTTCAGTCCTCCTTCCTGTTTGAAATAATTTAAGTACTTTGTCAATTAAGAATCACTTATGGTAATACTGCCTTATCTGGAAATGTTTTCTTTTGTTTTTTAAATTGGCAACTTAGATACTTTAGTGTTCTTGAGTTATAATTTTTGTACTGAATTTTAGTAAATCTAAAAATGTTACAATTCTAAAGATAAGCTTCCACTCTAGGTTATGGCCATCGCTCCAACCCATTATATCTGGCAGCGAGAACGCTCTGTTCATCACAGCGGTGCTGTCAGGAACTACAACAGAGATGAAGTCCAGCTGCCCCGGGGTCCAAGCGCCACACCCGTAGATTGCTCGCTTTGTGGTAAGAAGGGAAGATACGTGAGACTGGGGTTGTCTTCATCATCGTCTTCATCTGGTGACGTGGCAGAGGTGATGGAAAGGCGTTCTCAGGAGTCACACAGCTCACTCTCCATGGACGTGACCGCTGCCCCTCCTGCAGATGGCTGTTCTCAAGGTATGAATGAGTGGCGTGCCAGAACCAGAGGCAGCCAGCCCTTGCAGGCAGGGATGCGCCACACGGCCTGTGCACCATGGCATGAGTTGCACTAGCAACGAGTTTCCCTCTGCAGGTTGTACTTTTTGTCTTGCGTCCATATCTGTTTTATGGTAGCCTACCTAAACAGATTTTTTGATGGGACTTTTGCTAAATTGGAATCGTATGCACCGTGAGCCTCAAGTATTTTAAGAACCCAAACCATGGTTTTGAAGTGTTTATTTTATTCAAAAGGGATTTCAAAAAGACAATAAATGTCCTTGTAGTCTCACTCTTGGTTTCCTTCTGTATACTTTTCTGACAACATGAGAACCATACTATAGCTAGGGCTTTTTTTCATTTGTCACAAGGCATTTTCCTAAAACATTATCAAATCCTTGAAAACCTGATTTTTAATCCTGACATAGTATCAGTAGTATAATATATTTGCATATTTCACTTGTGTTGGGGTTTAAGTGACTGACAGTATATTAATTAGAACATAGTCATATGAGCTGGAAATACAACTGTACCATAATTTTAATTCAATTATTATTGTTGTTGTTATTTTGAGGCAGGGTCTGGCTCTGTCGCCCAGACTGGAGTACAATGGCACAATCATGGCTCAACACAGCCTCCAACTCCTGGGCTCAAGCAATTCCCCCGCCTCAGGCTCCCAAGTAACTAAGACTACCGGCATGTGCCAGCATGCCAATAACTTTTGTATTTTTTTTAGAGATGGGGTCTTGGTCTGTTGCCCAGGTCTTGATCTCCTGGACTCAAGTGATCCTCCTGTCTCAGCCTCCCTAAGTGCTGAGATTACAGGCGTGAGCCACCGCACCTGGCCAAATTATTTTTGTATACAGCATTCTCTGACATTTCTGTTCTTTTCTTTTTTTGATTCAGGATCTTGCTCTGTTGCCCAGGGTGGAGTGCAGTGGCATAATCACGAGGAGATCATGACTCACCACAGCCTCCAATTCCTTGGCTCAGACAAGCCTCCTGCATCAGCCTCCCAAATAGCTGGGACTACAGATGCACACCATCCACATCAGTTGCCCAGGCTGTTCTCAACATTCTGGGCTCAAGCAGTCCTCCCACTTTGGCCTCCCAGAGTGTTGAGATTATAGGTGTGAGACACTGCGCCTGGCTTTTTTTTTTCTAAATTTGAAAGAGTGATAGAATAATATTCTACTCTTAGTGATCCTTTTTACTTGTTATAAAGCCTTCCAGATTTTCACCCATCTCAAGATAGGACTGCCAGATTTTTTATGGCCCTTTGTAGTTCTTATGAGAAATTAACAGACCCCATTATTTCAGAATCCCGCCAATTTGTTTTTGCCACATCCGGAAGCTTGACTAAAGGAGAAATCAGTCTGAGATTCTTGAAGGTAGGGGTTGTGCCACAGTCACTGTCCCATTCCCAGGCCACAGCACTCACTCAACAAAGGTGACTTGACGGTACAGTCTCTTCCCTTCCAACACCTTTAAGCACCACTGTTATTGTTGCACTCATATTTGAAGGGCCCACCATAGCCTAAATTATACAATGAGAACTGGTTGGGTGTGGTGGCTCATGCCTATTATCCCAGCTACTCAGGAGGCGGAGACAGGAGGATCACTTGAGCCCATGAATTCAAGGCCATCCCGGGTAACATGAGACTCTGTCTCTACAAAAATAAACTAACTGCTGTATAGCATCCTTCCTCTCTCCCGGCTTCTTTTACCTTTTGGCCCCTTATAGTAGGCAAAATTTCTGGATGTTTAAAATGCCCCAGGTAATATAGTATGTATTTTATATTCATATCATTTAATAGACACAATCAACTGTAGGGTAAATACTATTATCTCCACTTGGCAGATAAGAAACGAGGCCTAGAGAGCGTAAATAATTTGCCCAAGGTGGTGGAGTGACACTTGAACCCAGACAAAAGCCTGAATCCCTCACCACTGTGCTCTTCTGCTCCTTTGGTGAAAGCCTGCCCTTGGCAGCGAAAATAAGCACCTTCTGGCAGACGAGGGAAGTGGCTATGCAGGAGCAGCCAATCCCTGCTGAGAGGCTAAGTGGAGTAAGCTGGGAGGATCCCCACGGCAACCTGGCAGACGTTCCCACAAAGCAGAATGGAAGCAGTTACGCTGAATTCAGATCAGCCTCTAGATTAAACGGCAGCAGCAACACTCCTACATGACAGGCCCTGATGTCGCCATAGGACACTGGAGTGCGCCAGGGATGGAGGGGCTCTGCCAGTCAGCGTGTGCTTAAAGAAGGGTCTTTGGGGGTTATAGAGGGAAAGGTGGGGGTTACAGAAGGAACTGTGCTTTCATCCTGTCCCTGGAGGAGCCCAGATTTAGGAATTACAGGCCTAAACAGGAAGGAACAGGCATTTACCTGTCGCTGTTTCATCCTGATGACTCATGGGTAGCTGTAGAGCCAGTCTCAGGACGTCAGAGGTGGGCAGCACAAGAAACGATCACTGATCACACACACACTTAGCCAGGAAAACACGCCTTCTTTTCCTCCAGTAGCCTTCACAAAGTGGGCAGGGGGCGAGGAGGAATGCAGGGTGGCAGGGACACATGACGTCACCTGGGCTGGGGCCCGTCGCCACTGCTCAGGCAGCTGCTGGCTCCCAGTGGTGCCCTCCACCGCCTAGTGTTCTTCCTGCCATCCACATGAGGTTGGAGTCACCCGAGAGTGAAGCTGCGGAAAGCGCAGTTCATGACTCAACCTGAGGTTTTGCTGAAAAAACTCAATTCAGCCTTCCCCAAGAACGAACTGCTAAGTCAGCACAGAGGGTTCTCAGTGCTTCCACTTTTCAAACACGTTTAAGCAACACCTCAATTTTCAGGTAAAAACGTATTTTTCTACCTTTACTGTTTTTTCTTAAAAACACATGTTCAAAAAACAAGTTTTACACAAACATGTTTATGACATTTATTAAGAACAAGGCCAGGAATGGTGGCTCATGCCTATAATCCCAGCACTTTGGGAGGCTGAGGTGAGAGGACTGCCTGAGCCCATGGGTTCAAGACCAATCTGGGGAACTTGGCGAGACCTCATCTCTACAATAAATCAGAAAATTAGCTGGGAGTAGTAGCACATGCCTGTGGTTCCAGCTACTTGGAAAGCTGAGGCAGAAGCATCACCTGAGCCCAGCAGGTCGAGGCTGTGGTGGCTGGGAGCGTGCTACCGCCCTCCAGCCTGGGTAACAGAGTGGGACTCCTACTCAAAAAAAAAAAAAAATATAGCCAATTTGAAATGGTGGGGTGAAAACACCATCAAAGCTTTTAGGGGAATAGATGAGACATTCTTTACAAATTTACATCAATCACAGGCACCAGCTATGTGCTAGACACTATAAAGGTGATCTTCTTTAACATTCAGCCCAAGAAATCTTGGGATTATACTCACATTACTGACGAAAAAACAAACTCAGAAAAGCCACATGGTTTACCAGGGAACTCAATAACAATAACCAAAACAAGATGGGAGCCCAGTTCTATCCGAATACACAGCATTTTTTTTTTTGAGACAGGGTCTCACTCTGTTGCTCTGGCTGGAGTGCAGTGGCAGGATAATAGCTCACAGTGCCTCCAACTCCTGGGCTCAGATGATCCTCCCACTTCAGCCTCCTGAGTAGCTGACACATTTTTATACTAACGGAACCACTGTTTCTCTTTTCCCCATGCTAATGTAAGCCTTGTGACACCTAGGCTGGACCAAGTGAAATGTGATTATGTATTATTATGTATTATTTGAGGACCCTTGAGACTTTAGAGTGAAGCCAAAGGAAAAACATACGAGAGACCCCAAAAACCCTGGAATCTATTTGATTAAAAATTGTGTATTTTTACATGTTTAAACATCAGTCACTTTCAAAGTACTCTCCATTTGATGCAGTGCAGTACACCTATCAAGATGCTTTTCCACTGCTCAAGTTTTTGAACTCATCCATTTGGATGTCTTTTAATGCTTCTGCCGTTTTTTGTTTCACCTCTTCTACACAGGCAAAATGTTTCTCTTCGAGGACTTTTAACCCAGGGAAACAAAAATTCACTTGGGATGAGATTGGAGGGATGTGGGCATGGGGCTGTGCTATTTTTGGCCCAAAGCTGTTTAATCCTCAGTGCAGTGTGGGTAGGTACGCGCTGTCATGGTCACCTGTTTGCCATAACTCAGGATGTTCTGCAGATCACGGCACGACCTTCTCAAAACCTCCTTTTCAAAATTTTGGTTGACTGTTTGACCCAGAGGAACAAATTCTGAGTGTACTACATGGGGCCCACCCTCCAAAAGATAATTCTGTTTTGAGGGGACACCCTTCTTAATACAGGCCTTATCCCTGGGTCATGTAGGCAGGCATGCAACATTCCAACTGTTAAGTAATCAAAAACAAATCATTTCTCCCCAGAATAAATCCTCCTTTGAATTCTCTTGTTTTTATCATTACCACTGTTCCAGTCACCCATGTTTAAAATCCTTATACTTAATGAAGACATGATCAGGGAATATAAAGCAGTCATGTGATCAGGGCTGTGCTAAGTATCTGATCAACATTTAGGTGTACACGCGATTTCAGAATTAATTCTCGGGGTGAGAGATTTGGTAAAGACTTATCAGAGAAATATGTTAGCTGGGCATTGAGAAGGGTTTCTGAATACTGGAAAGAAGTCTGAAGTCTGAAATACAGATGGTCCTGATGTCCTTATGGTTGCTATACAGTCAGCAGAAGGCGCTATCACCTGCTCTCTCCATGGGGTGAACGATGGACACTGACAGCTTACGGTGTGGCTAGATGATTCTGCCCAACTGTAAGCCGTTATTCCACACATTATCAACTTAACGATGGAGTTCATTATAAGTCTAAGCATCTTGTACACAGGTTCTCTCTGTAGCCAGTGAATCACCAGCTTATCTATTTGTTCTTCTTTCATGATACTTATACGTCTGCTAATTTTTCTTTTTTTTTTGAGTCTCACTCTGTTGCCCAGGCTGGAATGCAGTGGCTCAATCACAGTTCAATGCAGCCTCAACCTTTTAGACTCAGGAGATCCTCCCTCCTCAGCCTCACAAATAGTTGGGACTGCAGACATGGGCCACCACACCCAGCTAATTTTTTCATTTTTTGTAGAGACAGGTCTGGCTATGTTGCCTAGGCTGGTCTCAGACATTGGCTCAAGCAATCCTCCTGCCTCTACTGCCCAAAGTGCTGGGATTACAGGCATGAGCCACCGTGCCTGGCACATCTGCCCATCTTCCACTACTAATCACATCATCAATGCATTACTATGAAATCTAAGTTTTTTTCCTCCATTTAACCACTCACAGACACCACTAACAAATTAACTTTCTTAAAATATTTCCTTTTAATGACCATGGAAACTTTAGACATTCCCACTCCCTCTTCAATATAAAGTTCAAGATGAAGGGCTTCCACAATCCAGGAGCTATTTACCATGTGCCTGGATCTCCCTCCAGAACCACCAAGTCAATGGGTAAAACCGTGCACAATGTAGGCTGAAAGGTATTAGCAGCCAGGCATGTGGCTCATGCCTGTATTCCCAGCACTTGGCAGGCAGAGGTGAGAGGTTTACCTGAGCTCAAAGGTTTGAGACCAGCCTGGGCAATTTGGCCAGACCTTGTCTCTACAAAAAATAAATAAATAAATAAATTAGCCGGGCATGGTGGCACATGCCTGTAGTTCCAGCTACTTGGAAGGCTGAAGCAGAAAGACCACCTGAGCCCAGCAGGTTGAGGCTGCGGTGGCCGTGAGCATGCCACTCCAGCCTGGACAACAGAGTGAGACTCCAACTCAAAAAAAAAAAAAGAAAGGCATCAGCAAACTTAGCAACCATTTACTGGGTGGAGAAGGCAGGGCATCTGGAAGGCGCTGGGGAAGACCATTTCAGTCAGCCCCAAATCTCTAGCGTTTACAGGAAGGCAGACATGGACGGAGACAGCTAACATCCCATAAACCACTCTGTAAACACACTCAAGTGTTCAGAAGAGGGCTAAAGAAAGGGCTCCAGTCAGGCCTTGGCTAATAACAGAAATATGTGCTTATTTGCTTATGGAGTTTAGTCTTCAACTCAACTCAAAACTAGAATGGACAGCTATAGAGCTGGGGGTGGGGGGAGAGCAGGAAGAACAAAGAGAAATGGAAGAAAACCCTAAGAAAAGAAAAAACCTGGACACCGCCAGAGGTCTTGTTCAGTTCAGCACGCTACACGCAAACTAAGTACTCTACATGAAGCAAGAGTAGAGGGCAGGGCTTCCTTCTGCTCTGCAGTCAGCCTCTTCTCCAAGCAGGCAGCTGGGGCCTGGCACAGAACAGGCATTTCAGAACATTGACAGGATTCTACCAGTTAAGTAGAAGGAAGGAAAGGGAGTACTAGAGAGATGGAATCTTCAAACGTCCTCCAGAGGGTCTAATCATGGCAGCAAAACAATGCTTTAGTCAACGAGAGACACATATATGACAGTGGTCCCGGAAGATGATCAGGAGGCTGAAAAACTCCCATTGCCTAGTGATGTGGTAGCCATCCTAACACCGCAGTGCAACACATTACCTTCTACGTTTAGATACACAAATGCTTACCATGCATTACACCTGACTACAGTATTCAGTATAGGATTGTAGAAGCCACAGGCTACACTGTGTATGTTCTCTGTGCTGTTTGCACCACGACCAAATTGCCTAAGGATGCATTTCTCAGAACGTATTCCCATTGTCAAGCAACATATGACCATGACTGTATCTGGAAATGTTACAAAAGCTATAAAGGCATTATTATTGTTCAAGTGTTCAGATAACTATCATACAGAACTAATACACCTGAGTCAATCAGTTCTTCCCATGCAGCCAGAATGAATTTTTTTTTCAAAACACAAGTCTAAGCATGTTACCCCTTGCTTAAATTCTTCAATGGCATCTCACTTTTCTTAGGATAGACAAACTCTAAGCTCCTCCATGGCCTGACCTGTGTTTTTCAGTCTGTGTCACCTGACCTCACCCCACTAGCTTTTTGTTCTGATTTGCCCTAGTTACTCCTGACTTACATTCAACTCTCACCTCAATGTCATTCGCTAGAGCCAAGCCCCTACTGTGGCTGCTCCCAGTGACTTGCCCTTCTCTGGAGTACTCATAGCAGTTCAGTTTTACATCTGTGCGATTAGTAATGTCTAGTTCTACCAGCGATTGTAAACTCTATAGACATATTTTAGGTTAAAATTTTCGACATTCTGTAAAATGGTTTTTTTTTGCCATGTGGATCTGACGTTCAGAGGACTGCTGGGAAAATATTTTTTTTTAAATTTATGCACCCACAGCCACATGTTAATTTTAAATAGTTCTACCTAAGAGATAAATCCATCAAACATACTTAAACAACCTAACCACTCTAAGTAACTGTTTACCTGTAAAACGTGAACAATCTTAAAGATGTGTTTATTGCACAATTAAATGAGAAGCATATATAAGTACACAGTTCTTCAAACAATGTACGGTACGTAGTAAAAGTCAGATAACTGGCTAAGAAGAATACGCCCTATTCTTAATGAATTCATGTTTCCAAGGTGTATTTCCCCCAAACATTTGATGTATGTAGTAAGTATTAACACTGAACAATTCTGATGTTCAAGCTGGTTAAAAAGATTCTGAGAAGGATAAACGAGACTCAAGAACTTATATCTTTGGTTGCCAATTTAAGGTGACTACACCATTATTATCAGTTTTTCCCTATTTACTATATACCCTAGACTTCCTTATTATTTTTTAAGATATACAGGCCATTACAAGATGTATTTAAAATATACAGATACATAAGATTTATCTTAAAATGCATATTTTATTTCAGTAGCCAATGATCATCAATCAAACAAAGGAAAAGAAACTAATTGCATGGAGAAAGACAAATCTATGGAGTGGTTTACAGAAATTGAAGAATGAGATGGCTCAACTAAAGCAACCTGGAGTCATTAACCACCAAATGTCAAACCAATGCATGACAAGTGTCAAAATGGGACACCTGAGCGGGTTTGCAATGTTACACATCTTTACTTTTCAAAATTATATGCGAAAGTTACAAACAAATCATAGCAATAACTTAAGAAACCAATCTATGAAAGTAGTGACTTGTAACATAAAGTTCTATTTTGATATTTTTCCATCTTCAAATGAGTTGCTGTCATCTGGGGTACTCAGTCACATTGTGGCTTGACTTTCCTCAACTTGACAAGGAAAGCTAATTAAAGAGAAGAAAAAAGTAAGGTCATTACATTAACTAGAAGGAAAAAAGTCACAGAGTACGGTTGGAACATGACTCACCTGTATGGCCAGTTTGCCAGCGGATGGGTCTCGCAACATAGGGGAAAGCTCCGTAGGGGAAGGCCGAGTGGGGCTCTTCTGTTGTGAAAGAAGAATGTGCTGTAAGCCATAGAGAATGCTGTATAATGTGTTTACAAAAACTGTTAAAACATAAATGCCTGTCGTTTTATTGTAAGTTCTTTCCTTTTAGACCCTTTTTTCCGTATGTTCTTTGGAGCGACTCTGTCACTGTACAGAGTTTATCAATGACTGCATGATAAATTCACATATGATTTTACAACCAAACAGATAAGCCCATATCATAAATCAATGGCCATGTAAAGACTTGTTTACAGCCTACATGATGTGTACGTGCAAAAAGGACCTAAACTTAGCTCTTTGAAAAATTCCAGCAGCATCTTAAAAGTTGTTCTTTTGAATATTAAATTCATTCCTCTCAGTAATAATCACTAATCTAAATTTAAAACATTCCTAGAGGGTCGAGGTGAGAGGACTCCCTGAGCCCAGGAGTTCAAGACCAGCCTAGGCAACACAATAAGACCTCACCACTACAAAAAATTAAGTAGCTGGGCATGGTGGCATGCTCCTATAGTCCCAGCTACTTGGAAGGCTGAGGTGGGAGGATGGCCTGAGCACAGAAGGTCGAGGCTGCAGCGAGCCATAATCATGCCACTACATCCCCAGCCTAGGCAACAGAGTGAGACCCTGACTCAAATAAATAAATAAAAGTTAAACCATTCCTTTGTGTGTTTATTTCACAAACCGAGCTCCTTATGACAAACTATGAATATTACAGGTTCTTCAAAGGTACCAGAGTTCTACATAAAAGGCAGGAACAGTCACTATCTGGCCCTTATACACTTTAATTTAACAGAATAAATACCACATTCAATTTCTGTAGGAAAAAGAAAATCCCAGAGGAATACTTATATGATCTGCGGCCAGTACGCACAGGGGCCCCTTCTCTCGGGCCACTGCAGACACAGATGGAGAACACAGCTGAGGCTCACCACGGTCGTCCTCTGGCAGCATCTCCACTTCAACACCAGTCTTCCTCTGAGAATGTACTTTTAAGTCTGTGTTGCTCCTAGGTTCTACTTTTTGAGCTAAAATCCCATTTTTCTGTTTTGCAAGGCAAACCAACCAGTCTCTGACAATGACCTCGCTTATCTTTTCACAAGAAAGAGCAAGTTCACAGGTTCGAATTCCATCGAGGAGCTCAATAACCTGTGTGATGCTTTCAGAAAAGTAAAAAAAAAAAACAAAAAACAGTCATTTATTTTACGTTCTCTGTATCTCTCACCCAAATTCCAATGCTACAATTAAATCGAGGGGAGGGGGTTGTTGAGAATGCAAGGTTGGGCACAGGGTAAGAAATGTCCAGAATACTATGTCAAAAAATGAAGCCCATATTTCAACATTCCTGTTCACATTACACAGTTAAAACTTTTCTTGCAATTTGTCAGAAGAAATACGTACCTTCTATTACTACATATGTCATAGATCATTTAAGCAGCAATATAAATTTGGGGCATGTCATTTTCTAAGTTTTACGAGATGCCATATACACCTTACTTGATTACAAAATAAACAGTTTGGTTCTTGGGCAAAATACAAGTGTCTGTAAAAATCACATCACAAAGAAAGACAGTCCTGTTACTCACTTTACTAGATATACAGCACAGACACCACCCTGTTTAAGATGTGGGTATACGACAGGCAAAGCCACCTGCGGATTTAACATATCCAAAGCTACCTGCAGGGAAAGAGAACTGGATCATTCCGATTCTGTCTAAACAAAACAGACTTTTTTATTTCCCCAGTCAGGGTCTCCCTCTCACCCAGGCTGGAATGCAGTGCCCAATCGTGGCTCACTGCAGCCTCCATCTCCTGTGATAAGGTGATTCTCTGCTTCAGCCTCCTAACTACAGGCGTGGGCCACCATACCCAGCTAATTTTTAATTTTTTGTGGGGACCAGGCTGAATGGACTCCACAAGTTATTTCTATTCCTTTCCCTTCCTTTCCTCTCCTCAGAAATAATCACTGTCCTTAGCTGGTAACACTCCCAAATAATATTGTATGTTTACAATATCTTTATATAGCTACACGCTAGACATGTTGTGTAGTTTTAAATTTTACACATGTAACCAGTGTGGTGGCTCAGCCTGTAATCCCAGTACTTTGGAAGGCCGAGGTGAGTGGATTGCCTGAGCTCGCGGGTTCAAGACCAGCTTAGGCAACTTGGTGAGACCTCGTCTCTACAATTAAAAAACAAAATTTAGCCGGGTGTGGTAGCACACACCTGTAGTTCTGGCTTCTTGGAAGGTTGAGGCAGAAGGATCGCCAGAGCCCAGCAGGTTGACGCTGGGGCGGCTATGAACCTGCCACTGCACTCCAGCCTAGGTGACAGACTCCCACTCAACCCCCCCCAAAACAAAAAAATTGTACACATGTGGCCATTTCACATATTCTTTTATAATGCTTTTGCACTAGGCACTGTGTCTTTGTGACTTACTGATGTGGACAAAGTGCATTTATTATTAGTATTCCATTGTGTCCCTTTGGTTAAGCTGTTTCCAAAATGAGTTAAATTTTGTTAAACTCTTGTATTAGCCCTTATCTCTTTGTCTTTGTGGCTTAACACTTTTACTCGTTTACTATCATTCTGGTTGGCAGGAACAGAGGCAGGTTACCCAGAGGGCCACAGAGGAAAGAAGTCTTTGAATGAAGAACTCCCGACTGGCTTTTCAGCAGAACAAGGACAGGCCCAGGCTTCAGGAAGATTATTGTAGAGATGTAGAGATGAGGGGCCTGCAATGAAGAGGGAGGGCCGGGAGGTGAGAGGGCCACGAGGAGAGGGACAAGGCAGGCCGCGGAGTAGCAGTAGCTGTGAGGCCGAAGCAGTCGGAGAAGGGCGGGCCAGGCAGGAATGCAAGACGGCTCGGGCCAGATTGGGTGCCTGCCTGTCCAACAGTGCTCTCCCAGTGGACAGTCCGTGGAGACTTTCTTAAGACGGCTCTTCAACATGGAGCTTGTACTCAGTGATTCCGCAACGTGACTATTTGTGTATGAGCAGCCACTATGACTCCTTGGCTCTGGCAGCACAGAACCCTTCCCAGCGGCCACTGCCCGGCCTCCTCCACCTTCTTGCCTACGGAGCACTCAGCTGGCACCATCGATCAGGAGAGATTCCACTGAAGGCATCTAAAATGAGGATTCTTCTTAGATCAGGGATGGCTTGGCAGGTTTCCACAAAGCTCCAACTGCATCATTCAAACCCTTTGTTGCGCTTCATGCTCACCAAGCAAAATTCTGCTAACCAGTTAATCTCCCAGGTATTTCTGACATCCCCACGGATGGCCCGAGTGGCACCCCTCCCCCTTGCCGAGCTGTAAAATGCAGCCCAAGCAAAGGCAGGGAAAAGAACTCCAGGGCTCGGTTACATCAGAGATGGGACTGTGCAGACAAAAAGCATTTCCTCCCCTCTTGGAACCCTGCTTCACTTCACCAGAACAGTCCAATGTCCTGTGGCTAATTAAGGCACACAAGGAAGCCTCCTTCCCGAAGGCCAGTCCAGGGTCACGCTATGAGCTGTTAAGTGGCAATGCCACCAAGGACAAGGCTGCTCGTGCTGGAATCCTGAGACTCCGAAGCCAGATGCTCCACAACCCACATCTCCCCCATCTCTGGTCACAGCTCTAAAGCCCTCCTGCCACCTAAGGCCTCACCTCCACAGACTCTGCTGTTCTTCCTAGCTCCCACCCACCGTCCTCCTCCACACAAGCCCCTCCACTCCCTGTGGAGCCGTGCCCAGGACAGGCCCTGATCCTGGCGCCAGGAGGGAGCACGCTGTCACCCGACTGTCTGGAAAGCCTCTTGCCTCCCACGTGGGAGTTGCTCATTCTCCAGGCCCCACAGCTCTGGGCAGGAGCTGGACTCCGTCGGCCCAGCGCTGTTTCTCTGTCCTGGGACTGCTGAGGCCCATGGCGCTTAGCACCTCCAGCATGTCTCCAGCCATCTCCCCATGTTCAGTGACGACTCTGACATTTGACTCAGCGAGTCTCTCAGCCCCAGATTCCACAAAACTAGTAAAGGACAGCAGAGAGAAATCGCGTTTCCGCCCTAGAGACAGAAACAGAGCAAAGCAGGAGAGAAGAAGCGCATTGCCCACATAGAAAGAGCCTGGGCCTCATTCTCTCTGTACCCAAAGCAGTAACACGGGATGCACTTTAGGAGACTTACCGCGTCAAATACTAGAGATCTTATGTCTTCAGCTGCTCCCGAGATATCCTTATGAATAAAATCCACATTGTCTGGCCACTCTTCTGCATGACCTAATTTCCATGAATCACGCCAGGCTTTATAATTCTTCTTAGCCAGATCGTGGTGGTCTTTCCGTATTTCAAAACTTATGACTCGTCCTTGTGATCCAACTTAAGTAAAAAATAATTTGATATTTCATTGTATTAATCAGCTTATTTTAAAGTGTTGAAATTTTATCTGCAAAGGTATTATACATGTGAGAAAAAATAATTCAAATAGTTCAGGCTACAAAAGTCCTCCCATAGCTGACCCCCTGTTTAATAACGAACTCCCTCCTCAGAAGCAGCCGTGTCCCCAGGCATGTGCCTCCCCATGACGGTCGCCGCCTCTACCAGCACAGTGCGTGTCTTTAACATACACTGTGGTGTATTACACACTGCCTGGCCTTCTATCCTCCCTCTTACTCACCAGCAACATTTCAGCGAACACAGATAGACTGCATTCTTTTTCCTTAACTGCAATTTTTTTTTTGGAGTCAGTCTCACTCTGTCACCCAGGCTGGAGAGCAGTGGCACACTCATGCTCACGGCCACCACAGCCTCGACCTACCAGGTTCAGACAATCCTTCCGCCTCAGCCCTCCAAGTAGTTGGAACTACAGGCATCCGCCACCATGCCCGGCTAATTTTTTGGTTTATTGTAGAGACGAGGTCTCACCAAGTTGCTCAGGCTGGTCTTGAACCCATGGGCTCAGACAATCCTCTCCCCTCATCCTCCCAGTGTTAGGATGACAGGCATAAGCCACCGCGTAGGGCACTGCATCCTTTTTAACAGTTGTTCTATTCCAGCGTGGTTTTGCCATACTTTATTTGATTCGTCACCAACTTAGCTTGTTTCTAGTCACATGCTAGCACAAACACTCCTGCAATGAAAATCCTTGTATCCAAGTCCTTGCACCACGAGCCAATGTATCTCTACAGGATAATGTCCAAAAAATGAATTGCTGGCTCCGGGGTAAGTGAATCTTTTATTTTGAAAAATATCAACACAAATTGTCCTTCACATAAGGGTACCAATTCCTATGTAGACCAGCAATATATTATAGTGCCCATTTCTCCACACACTCCCCAATAAAGTTATCCAACTTTTTATCTGTATCAATCGAAAAAGTGGGTAAAAATAGTTTATCACTGCAGTTTTTGTTTTTTGAGTCAGGGCCTCACTCTGCCACCCAGGCCAGAGTGCAGTGGTACCATCACCGTTTACCACAGCCTGGACCTGCTGGGCTAAGGCGATCCTTCCACCTCAGCTCCCCGAATAGCTGGAACTACAGTTGCGTGCCACCACTCTTGGCTAACTTTTTTGATTTTTTTTGTAGATACCACGTCTCACTGTACTGCCCATGCTGGTCTCAAAAACCTGGGCTCCAGCAATCCTACCATCTCAGTCTCCCAAAGTGTTGAAATTACAGGCGGGAGCCATCATGCCTGGCCTATCACTACAGTTTAAACTTGCATTTCTTTTATTTTGGATGAGGTTGAACGTTTCATGTATTTAAACGGTATATGTATTTGTGTCTGAAGAATTTTCAAACTGTTTAGCACAGTAATACTGCAGTTCCAGAGAAAAGTGCTCATTTTAACTTAGGGCAATTAACTTTCCACGCACCTCTAGCTGAGGTGATTCGCTACCATTCAGAGGTTATCCTGGGTCAGTCAGTCTAATTCGCTAATGAGAAGCTTAAATTCCAAGATGTCTTTTGAAACGTAAACTCTAACTACAAGTCATCTTGTTGTGGAGATAAAAAACCATGTTAACAGTCCCACGAGCTGAACAACTAGAGAAGGTTATGGAGCAAGAAACATCTATCACATCCCCAAACGGCAAAAATGCCTGGCTCCCTCACAGGAATGAGTCACACCACGACCCTCCTCCAATACCACGCACTTTAGAAACACAGGCACTTGCTTCTCACGAGGTCTTTTACATCCACTTTGTCAAATGAAAATATGCATGTAGGAATTTGTCACCGATTATGAGGAAATGACTGCCTTCGAATATGTACAGGAAAGAGTCAAACGAAAGATTTGCGAAGCTCAGGATGAATGCAGTGACATGGCATAGCCTGGATCCTGTTCCTGCGTGAGGACATCAGGTCACAGAACAAAAGGTTGAAGTTTAATTTCCGCCCATTTTCCATCTGGAATCTTTGTAAAATTCACCCAGATGAGTACTGCGCCTGTTCAGCAGTCTGCTGTGAGGAGGGACAGACAGACCAGCCAAAGCGGCCCTGACCTCAGGGGTCTGGAGGCTTAAGCAGGCACTCACCAACTGGGACACGAGTCACCAGAAATAAGGGAGAGTGTGGGACTTATGTTTATGCTTACTGTCCGCCTCTTGACTTTGGATCAGGCACCTACCTTCAAGAAGTACTTTTACTAACTGACAATGTTTAGAGATGTTCTGAAAACTCTTCACTGTCTAACTTTTACTGAATAGTTGTTATGACTAATTCCTTCATGAACACCAACTGTAATTCTTTGGTCCCAACAATAGGTAGCCCTTCCCCAGCAGCTGACACCCTTGATGCTTCTATATTCTCTTGCTAAGTGTCCAACTGGGACGATTATTCAACAACACAACATATGCGCACCGAAAGACAAGCACAAGAAGGTTCAGAGCAGCGAGGTTTTCAATGTCCAACAGAAATATCCCTGAACAGAATGGATGAACTGTGATGTATATCTAAAACAGGGTATTACACAGCAACGAAAATGAAAGAACAGCTGCTATGCGCAATGACTGAATCTCAGATGATGAGTGGAAGCTACAAACAAGTTCACAAGTTCTACTGTGTGACTCCATTTAAATCAGGTCCAACACAGGAAAACTAATCAAAGTGATAAAGTCAGAACAATGGTTCTTTGGGGAGGATGAGGGCTGGGAGGGATGTGAGGTGTCTGGGTGCGGGAATGTTTCTGCCCTCATCTGGGTCCCAACTCCGTGAGCGTGGCCACTATGTAAACACTCACTGAGGTATACACTATGATCTGGATACTCTTCTGTTTTTAAAGTTTACTAAAAAAGAAAAAAAAAAAAAGGTAGAGCCGGGCATAGTGGCACACAACTGTAGCCCCAGCTACTCGGGACGCTGAAGCGGGAGGGCTGCTTGAGCCCTGGAGTTTGAGGCTGCAGTGAGCTATGATTATACCACTGCACTCCGGCCTGGGCAATAGAGTGAGACCTCACCTCCAAAATATAAAATAAAATAAAATGGCAGAAACATTAGCAAGCATGGAGAGAACAAGAGAAAGCAAAGAAAATGAAGGAGATGAGAGAGTGACTGGAATAAGCCCCCAAACGGAAAGAAACACAGCTACTGACACTTGGTTTCAAGAACGCTATCACAGCTATGTGAGTCCTTCCCCAACATCTGGATGTCTCTAACTTGGTGACTGTAAACAAACCGAGTGTTTTCTTCGTCATCTACACCCAGCTCGCTTAGCCCAGTCTCTTACCTGCTTTGGATAAAAATAAGCTCATTCCACCAGAGCCCGAGCCAGCTTCCAAAACAGTGTCACCTGGGCTGACATTCATCATCAGCAGTATCATGCTCACGTCCTACGAGCGAAACACAGCATGCGTGACTCAGGGACCCATCCCATGGACTAAGCACCGACACTCGTCTCACCGCTGAATGTGGAGAAGGGCAGTGGAAAACAGGATCAGACCCTAACCCTGCCTACAAAGTTGATGTCGTACTTGATGCAATAAGAGCGTCAAGAACCAACTGATAAGGAAGGCAGCCGCTCGGAATAGTAGCAACATCACAGACAAGTGCAGAAGGATCTCGGAGAAAGGAGAAAGCAGCAGGCTGCCCTTGCCTGAAAACAGTGGAAGACTGGAGGAAACAGCTGCAAAGCAGAGACAGCTTTAAGCAGCACAGGAGCAGAAGAAACAGTTTTCCCGTCTCAGAAGGAAACAAGGATCGGTGTCAGTAGGTGGCATTTGCACTTGGCCCGGTAAGCAGCTATGGCATGTCACTGAAGTGAAACAAACAGCATTTTAGGAAGATTCATCTGGCAGGGGAACACAGATTCTACTAAAGGAAAATTAGAGGCAGGAGCTTACTAAATCCCTACATGAAATGATGAACTTCTAATCTAGAATTAAGATACTACACTAGGAAAGCTGGGCACAGTGGTTCAGGCTTGTAATCCCAGCACTTTGGGAGGCAGAGGCAAGAGGACTGCCTGAGCCCAGGGGTTCGAAGCCAACCTGGGCAACTTGGCAAGACCTCGTCTCTACAGTAAATCAAAAATTCAGCCAGGAGCGGTGGTGTGTGCCTGTAGTTCCAGCTACTTGGAAGGCTGACGTGGGTCACCTGAGCCCAGCGGGTTGAGGCTACGGTGGTCATAAGCATGACACTACACTACAGCCTGGGCGACAGAGTGAGAGTTCGACACAAAAATAAAGATACTATACCAGGAAAAAAAAGATATTGTCCTAGGAACAGATCAGAGGACCCATTTACCAAACACTAACTGAATGGTTTTTGTGAGCACAACGGGAATTTTATGGATGATAGTAAAGACGAGCTGTGTACTCAAACTTTACTGCTCGCCAGGCTTCTGTTACTGGGCACGCTGCTTTCGTACAACATCTCGTTTAATCAGAATAGTAATATGAGAAAAGTATCATCATCCCATTATAAAGTCGAGAAAATAGAGGTAAAGCAATTTGCCCACAGTCACACCACCCAGAATTCAGAACTGGTGTTGAGCCCCCAAACCACACTGCTGACCCTAACGATATGCCGCACGTTACCGGAGCGTGAATGTCAGCATTGACTTCAACACTGCTCCAATAGCGAGCCTTTTCTCCACTCACAACAAAACTGTCAATTTGGTTGGGTGCAATGGCTCACACCTGTAATTCCAGCACTTTGGGAGGTCGAGGTGAGAGGACTGCCTGACCCCGTGGGTTTGAGATCAGCCTGGGCAACTTGGTGAGACCTCGTCTTTACAATAAATCAACAAAAAAATTAGCTGGGCATGGTGGCATGTGTCTGTAATTCCAGCTACTTGGAAGGCTGAGCCTAAACCTAGCAGGTTGAGGCTGCAATGGCTGTGACAGTGCCACTACACTCCAATCTGGGCAACAGAGTGAGACTCCGACTCAAAAAACAAACAAAAAAAACTTGTCAATTCAGTATGGTTTTGATGCAAAAGTAAATATTTGACAGGTATGGTGCCTAATTAAAAGTCAAAAGGCACTTCCTGAAATGCAGGAAGATAGCTTGGACCAAATGACACACAGTAACTGTCAAGATGCCTTAGTCAAAAAGTTTCATTCTCAATGCTGAGTCAGATATACAGACCCCTGAGTGCCAGGCGCCTCTGGCAGAGATGGGAAATCACACAGGCACCCATGGCTTGAAGTAGGCAGCAGTCTGGGCAATGCCCCAGCGAAGGGGTCTATGGCTCAGATCGTGTGAGGCACCGCAGCTTGGGCTTTCTACCCACCCTTCAGGCTCCATGGTCTTGGCAGGGTGGGTTTCCAAGGCTGAATCCCACCATGTACATCCTGGCAGTTTCACTCCAGAACATGGGGCGGGGCATTTGTATGTATTCCTGTCCCTGTTTTATTACAAAAGGGACTTGAGGCTGAGGATGACTCCTACCAAATTAAGAAATCTCACTCTACCATTGAGTTCACACCTCAGGCTTTCAAACAACCCTTCTTGACTTATTTTTCCTCAGTAGGAATTCTAATCTCTTCCGATGAATTCAATAATCCAACTCTAATCCTTAGCCTAAGGCTTTAATAACTGAGCTATACCTTAGTTTTTATTAAGTGGCAACACTTCCTACTACCGAATTGCCCTGTGTGTCACAATCATGCACGTCAGCAGAAAGGATTCATTAGAAAATCTGAGGATTGTTGTCATTTATACTTCTATTCCAAGGTTAAACATGTTTGATACTGACCAGTGAGTCTCTGACATTTCACCAATATTAGAACCAATTTAAAATTGTTCCACAGACCATCTTTTTAACATTAAGTTATATAATTGAAACGTCATTCAACTGATCAGTTCTTAAAAATCAGGTGAGGTATTCCCATAAGCATTTCAAAGCTATAAAGACTGAAGTGAAATTATGTCAACACCTAGCAGTCCACTATTAAATTTCTCTTTAGAGTGGAACGCTGTGACTTTTTAATCTATGACAAATGGAAAGGCAGAAAGTACACTAAAGATGCATCTTTGTAACTTTATAAAACAGAAATCTCTGCATATTTAGAGTTTTTCTTTATTGATAGAGCTGAAGAAAAAAAGAAAAAAGAAAAAAATAAATTCTATCTAGTATGGAGGAATTAGACATAGGGGACATAAGACAAAATTAGAATAGTCTTTTATGACTAGGTTGAAACAGTCAAAAGAGAAAAAGAAGTGATATGGTTGAAAAAGAAAAGATAATAGACATTCCCGTCAAGAGCTTACAATAGTCCACGGGCCTGAAGCTTGGGAAAAAGGTTTTCTTGGTCCCTAGGTACCTTTTAAAAGGCAGTCTGGGGCTACCCTCTTTCGAGTCACCTCCTGCTGGGGGAGCTTTTCTGTCTTTTTAATAAACTCCTACAAAATATAAAAAGTAAAAGGCAGACTGGGTTTCTACTGAGAACCTTCCGAGGGTCTCCCGGCAGACATGGAAGAAAACACTCCAACACCTCTAAGCCAGGCCCCTGCACCGATGCGCTCGGGCCACAAGAAAGTCTCTCCTGTGGAAAGCTGACTCTTCCTCACTCAGGATTTCTACCAAGGGCACCTCCTGGGAGACCATCCCTCATCACCTGGGCCTCCCACCCCAACCACCCAGCACAAGTCACCGTTCGTGCTCGTCTTCAGGACACTTAGCACCACCTGGAATGACCTTATCTTTGTTCTTCGTCAACCCTTGTAGAATGTAAGGTCTATGCTGAGAGCAAGGACTGCGGTTCAATATGACACCTCTGGACATAAGTGCCTTGAACATAGAAGCTAATCAGTTATTTGCTGAATAAATAATGCACAAATCCTCATCTGGGGAGAGGAGAAGTTGTGCTACAAAGGAACATTCTATGCACGGACTGTGACCGTAAGGATGGAAATAAATTACTGGCAAATTAGTGTAAGATTGAAGCAGGCAGTTAGCGGATGTATAAAGAATATTCATTTTATGTCCAGTGTTGAATGTTAGCTGTTTTCATACAAAACTATTCTTTCCTAAAGGGAAAAAGCATAGTAATACATCTATTAACAATAAGATGTAACTCCAGTAACGTGTCTTATTAAATATGATTAAAATACCATAGTGGTACTACAAAATCATCTCCAAAAAATTCAACATTCTCTTGGGTACTGAACTTGTAAACTTAAAACAAAGGCCGTTAGGCCGGGCGTGGTGACTCACGCCTATAATCCCAGCACTCTGGGAGGTCGAGGTGAGAGGACTGCCTGAGTCCACAGGTTCCAGACCAGCCTTGGCTACTTGACATTTCTACAATAAATCAAAAAATTAACTGAGCCAGGCTCGGTGGCTCAGCCTGTAATCCCGTGCCTTTGGGAGGCTGAGGTGAGTGGATTGCCTGAGCCCGCGGGTTCGAAACCCGCCTGGGCAGCGAGACCTCATCTCTACAATAAATCAAAAAATCAGCCGGGCGTGGTAGCGCATGCCTGTAATTCCGGCTACTCGGAAGGCTGAGGCGGAAGGATCGCTGGAGCCCAGCAGGTCGAGGCTGCGGTGGCCGGGAACGGCCACTGCACTCCAGTCTGGGCGACAGAGTGAGACTCCAACTCAAAAAAAAAAAAAAAAAAAAAGTAACTGGACCACGTGCCTGTAGTTCCAGCTATTTGGAAGGCTCAGGCGGAAGGATGGCCTGAGCCCAGCAGGTCGAGGCTGAGGTGAAAGGATGATCTGAGCCCAGCAGGTCGAGGCTGGGATGGCCAGCAACGTGCCACTGCCCTCCAGCCTGGGTGACAGAGTGAGACTCCGACTCAAAAAACAAAACAAAAACAAATAACAAAGGTCGCGCGCGGTGGCTCATGCCTGTAATCCAAGCACTCTGGGAGGCCGAGGCTGGAGGACCGCTTGAGGCCAGGAGTTCGAGACCAGGCTAAGCAACACAGCCACACCCTGTCTCTACGATAACATCAACGATAACGAAGGAGCAAAGGGAACAAGGACAGGCACTTAGTACGTACCCAGCGGGCGAGTTAAGCACCCTGCCAGGGGATGGACGGGGTCTTCGACTGACAGACCAGAGCGCCGAGACTCCCGAACTGGAAGGCGCTTCCTCTGAAAACCTCCACCCGGCCCAGCCTGAAGACGCCCGAGCGATGCCCCAGGGGCGTCCGGGGCCGGCGGCAGGCCGGGGCCCCCGCGCTCCGAGCCGCACCTTGGGATACGCGACGGCGGGGCCCCTCTCCATCAGCAGCACGAAGTCGTCCAGCGCCGGCCGCCGCAGCAGAACGCGCTTCCCCGCCGAGCTGCGCAGCACGTGGCCGGGCAGCTTCCCCGCGAGCCGGCGGAGCGGGACGGCCCCCCAGCTGCTGTTGAGGCGCCCGGTGGCGCGCAGCCGGAACAGAGTCTGGTGCCGCGTCTCCCCATCGCCGGCCTCGGCCAGCACCAGCTCCCCGGCGCGGAGGGGCCCATCTCGCGGCGCGCGGCAGGACG